TGGTGGTGCTGTGGTTAAGCCATCAGCTGTTCTCTGGAAGGTCCGCAGTTTAAGCCTGGCAGCTGCTCTGCTTCCCAAAAGATGTTTAGCCTTGACAACCCCACAGACAACAGGGGCTTGGGGGGTGGGGGTGCTCAGGGGTGACCCCAGGATAGCGGGTGTGGTTTACATTTGTTACATCTCTGGATTCTGCCACAGGTCCCCCGGGGACTGGCAAAACCTCCCTGTGTAAAGCGCTGGCCCAGAAGTTGACCATCCGGCTCTCCAGCAGGTAACTTGGAGGCTGGAGGGAGCAGGCCTGAGTGGGAGTGGGGACTCTGTTCTCCTCTGCCTGTGTGGTTGGGGTTGTTGGGGGCCATCGCAGCGGCTCCAGCACACCTCGACCCCATGCACAGCAGGAGGAGGCCCCGCTGGTCCTGCACCGTCCTCGAGATTGGGACAGTTCAGCCCATTGTTGCAGCCACTGTGCCGGTCTCCGACTTCTGGAGGGTCTTCCTCTTTTTCTGGACTCCCCCGATTTACCGAGCATGGTGTCCTTCTCCGGGGACCAGTCTCTTCTGGCGACATGGTCGAAGTACCTGAGACAGTCTTTGCCTCTAAGGAGCACCCTGGCTGTCCCTACTCCAAGACAGATCTGTTTGTCCTGGCAGGCCCTGGCCTTTCAGTGTTCTCCAGCACCACAGTTCAGATGCCTCAATTCTTTTTCCGCTGTCCTGATGCACTGGGCAGCTCTTGTATGCCCGTGAGGCGGTGGGTCAGGCCCCCCCGAGTCCTCACATGCCAGCCTTGCTCTTGAGCACTGTCAAGCCAGTGCTGCACATTGACCCGTGACTGTACTGGGACTTCCTCTGTCCCACCCTGGCCTTGCTCCATCCACTCTCCCAGGGTCGCAGTGCAGAGTGCCTCCAGGCGGTGTCGTGTGGCGCCGCCCCCCCCCCACCCACACACACACACCACATACACACTGTCGCCACCGCCTGCTGTGGCTTTAGGGATTCATCTCCATTTCTAGGTCTTTCAGGCCAGAGGGACAGTCTGGTCCCTGTCGCTCGCTTGTGCCAGAGAAGGGGGTCCTGTGAGATTCCTGGAGGAGAGAGTCCTGGGAGACTAGCTCTGGCTGTCTGCTCTGTTTCTTGGGACAGTTTTGACTCCCAGAAACTGCTTTACCCAACCTTCTGTGTAACGGGCAGAGATGGCCCTGGTTCTGACGCAGTGGCTGTGTCTGCTTGCTACACGTGGAGAGGCCGTCACAGGAAGGCTGGGTTTCTCGTACACAGATGTGGGCACGTAGAAATGAGTGTCGGTAGTGGCCTTGGTGTCCCGCTCCTGGTGACCCACGTGCAGGAGCTGCTCCACGTGCTGTTCAAGGCAGTGACCTTTGGGGACAGGAGGCCGTGCCCACAGTTGTTGGACCAGTCTACTTCGCTGGATGGGCTGGCTCCGTCCTCCTTTCCTGTTTCGCTTAACAGGATTAGCACTGGTCTGTGTCCTCTGGCTGTTCACACGGGAAACCAGAGGTCGGCTTTGGAAAAGGTGGCTTTTCTCCTGCAGACTTTGACCTGGGAGCCAGCAGAGTGTCCTCGTACCTCTGCCGTGGTGGCTGTGTCTTCCCCCAGCAGGCCCCGATGCCACCTCCAGGGATCTGAGGCAGGGGCAGGCTCTGCTTCCAGCCTGACTGGTGGCTCCTGGCGGTTCAGCAGAGGGCTTCCAGCCAAGTTGTGCCGCTGCTGTTGGGTCTGTTGTGTTGTGCTGGTGAGGCAGCCTGAGAAGCGCCTCATGTCAGTCATGCTCTGACGCAGGCCACGCCGACTTCACATGCAAAGTTTAATCTGCCCCCACCCACAGTTCCGGTGACATCTGTCTGGTTTCTCGTCAGTACTCACCTCACAGTGTGCTGGCACCTCAGTGGCTCTAGAGGTCCCGGTGCTGGTCAGCCCCCTGCTGGAGTGCAGAGTGCTGAGCCCCGGGGTGCTGCACCGGACGGCGTGCAGCTAATGCGAGGAAGACCTTCTAAGCCCCGCTCTCCCCTCCCCATCGCAGGTACCGGTACGGCCAGCTGATTGAGATAAACAGCCACAGCCTCTTCTCCAAGTGGTTCTCAGAAGTAAGCTGGTTTTCGCTCGGTCTGTGCACGAGTGCCCCAGCAGCTGCGGCTGCGAGCTCGCTGTGTTAGGGAGCGGTGAGGTGGGGGAGCAGGGAAGCCAGTGGAATTCGGGGGTGCCAACTGCGGTCAGAGGACCAGGAGCTGAGCAGGAATGCAGCTGGGCTCTTAGCCGAGAGCCTGGGCAGAGTCGCACCCCCACGCCCCAGGTGGTGAGTCTGGCTGGGGGCACGAGCTCCGATGACCCTGCAGCACCTGCTCGGGCTGAGGCCAGCGAGTCCCAGTGAGGTGTCCAGGTGCCAGGGCCTGAACTGGAGCAAGCACCACTGACCAGTCTAGCTGAATGGGCTCCTGACACAGGACCTGTGGAGTTGAAGGCCTTGGGCGTCTGAGGGAGGTGGGCTGTGGGCCTGGGGAAGCCTGGCCTAGACTCTGTGCCACATGGAGAGTGTGCCGCTTATAGAGTGGCAAGCTGGTGACCAAGATGTTCCAGAAGATTCAGGATCTGATTGACGACAAAGATGCCCTCGTGTTTGTGCTCATCGACGAGGTGAGCCCTCTGACCCCTGACCTCCCTGCCCTTTCATGCCACGCCGCCGCTCCCCAGCCCAGCTCCACACCCCATCCTGTCCGCCGCCCTCCCCGTTCCCCTGACCATGTGCGTCCCTGTAGGTGGAGAGCCTCACCGCTTCCCGAAACGCCTGCAGGGCTGGCACAGAGCCCTCGGATGCCCTCCGCGTGGTCAACGCCGTCCTGACCCAGATAGACCAGATCAAGAGGTAGCACAGTGCCTAACGGTGCGGAGCCCTGCTCCGTGGCTCTGACCCAGAGCGAGGCCGCTCGGAGAGGTCTGGAGTCCCCGGTTCTGGGGGCTGAGACCACATCAGCCTCGGGGAGGCCCCTCCCTGTGATCTCTGCCCTGATAGCCGAGAGTCCCTGGCGTCCCTGGGCTAGTGGGGCCCCTGCCATGCATGTCGCCTGTCCCCAGCCCATGTCTGCATCCTCTGCATGCTCAGAGGATAGCGTTAGGGCCCACTCCCCTCTGGCATGACCTCGTCCACGTGAAGAAGAGCCAGGCCAGTGTGTGTGAGCCTCAAGCCCCCAGACTCCAGTGTCGTCCTGTGCAAGGACCACCGTTCTCTGCCCGTGGGCTGTGCCGTGGTGCCTGGCGTGTCACTGTGATGCTGGAAGCCGTGTCACTGGTGTGTCAGCTAGCAGCAGGGGCACCCGTGGCAAACAGCTTCAGCAGATCCTCCAGGCTAAGACTAGGCTGAAGGACCCAGCTGTCGGCATGTGTGCCCACAGGCACTCTAACGTCGTGATCCTGACCACGTCCAACATCACTGAGCGCATCGACGTGGCCTTCGTGGACAGGGCTGACATCAAGCAGTACATTGGGCCTCCGTCGGCAGCTGCCATCTTCAAGATCTACTTCTCGTGCCTAGAGGAGCTCATGAGGGTGAGCCCCAGCTCCGAGGTCCCCTCAGTTCCCAGGGGCCCGGCCAGTGTCGGGACACTGAGCCGGGCTCTGGATGTCTCGGCCAGTTGGGTTGGTGGTGTCCTCACTGGACTGGGTGGGTCCTGCTTCTGCACCGGCCACAGGGCCTCTGTCCATCCTGCTGCTGCGTGCATCACAGATAGAGGCCAAGGCCTCCCCTGGGCACCCCAGCCCTCTGCATCTGCTTGTCTCAAGCCCCTCTCTGGTCCCCTGCCATAGCCTGCCAGCCCCTGCCTCTCTGGCCCTCGCCCCACTCTGATCTGTCCCCACCGTCTCAGGCAGCCCGCCCCTCCGCCAGCCTTTCTGACCTGCCCTATCTGCCCACCTGTCTGTCTGTAGTGCCAGATCATCTACCCTCAGCAGCAGCTCCTGACCCTGCGGGAGCTGGAGATGATCGGCTTCATCGAGAACAACGTGTCCAGGCTGAGCCTTCTGCTCAGTGACATCTCCCGGTGTGAATCCAGATTGCGGGAGTGCCCTGGGATTTGGGGGAAAGAGAGAGAGAGAGAGTGTGTGTGTGTGTGTGCAGCCTAGCGTCTGGCTCAGACAAGCTGAGGACGCCTGTGCTCTTGTCTCATGAGCCACGCGTGTCGGGCGGAGGGGAGGGGACAGGCAGCAGGCACCCCTCCTGGGCTTGGGCCACGGGGGTAGCTGCTATCACACTGGGTGACCTTAACTGCTTGGCATACTCTCTTCTGGGCCCGTGGGGAGGTGGTCGTCTAGGGGGGGTGCTTGGCTGCCAGCGCCCTCGTCCTTGACCGAGGTGTCCCCACAGGAAGAGTGAGGGCCTCAGTGGCCGTGTCCTGCGGAAGCTGCCCTTCCTGGCCCACGCGCTGTTCGTGCAGGTGAGCACAGCTGCTCCCCGAGGGGGTGGGGCCTGGCCTGGGATGGATGTGGGGGGCACGTGTCTACCTGCACCACACACACATCCCACTCCACCCCCGGGAACTGCGTGCTCATGTGTGTGTAAGGACCCGTGCCTCCTCAGCTCTGCTCACGTGTAACTGAGGGCGGGGGCGGGGCCCACCCCGAGCAGCCTGGCCGGAATCTGATCTCTCTGTTTCGGCCAGGCCCCCACGGTCACCATCGAGGCCTTCCTCCAGGCCTTGTCCTTGGCGGTGGACAGACAGTTTGAGGAGAGGAAGAAGCTCTCGACTTCCATCTGACCCTCAACCAGCTCCCTGCAGCACCCCACGGGGCCACTTTGTCCCCTCCCTGCCAGTGCGGACTTCACACCCCCACAGCCCCTGCCTGTGACCTCTTAGATGGCACAGTCCCACGGCCGCCCTGTGCTCAGGCTCCGTAACAGGAGGCGGGCCATCTCTGGGGACAGGCCAGCCTTGTCCTCTGTTGTCAAGTGTCCCCAAGGGCTGTCATTGAAGTGTCTCTGAAGAGCAGCCTCAGCCTTGCCCCCCATACCTGTCTGCACACAACACTAACCTGCTTTGTTACAGACAGGAGAGCACCCACTGCCTGGGGGCCGCACTCCTGTGGTGGGTGGTTGGCACCTCACCTCACCTCCAAGCCAGTAGATAAGCTGGGCTTGTCAGAAGTCAGCCCACTAGGGGGCAGCCACCGCCGGGGTCGGGATTCTGAGGTCTCGGAAGTTCCCACAGACTGGCTCCCTCCTGGTTCACAGAAAGACTTCTGTGGCCGCGTTTTCTGTTGGTATTCTGTAAGTTACGTCTGTTTTACAAGCCTGGCCACCGTTCGTTATTAAAGTACATTTTCCCAGAACCTCCCTGAGCATGGCTCGAACCTTATCAGAGTGCCGGCCGTGCTGTCCTTTCTCAGTGGCTGCTCCGGGTGGGTCGCTGCCGCCCTGGCTCCGGGTGGGCTGGGAGCAGGAGTCAGGGCCCAGTCCCTGTGACTGCCTCGGGCAGGGTTGGCCTGGGATTCCTGTGCATCTCACCATCATCCACCTTCTATCAGACCCTTAACGAAGCTGCTTGCCCTTGGCCGCCCCGGCCTGATGGTCACCGCTGAGGGGCCCAGAATTCTGTCCATCCTGCCAAGCTCCAGGAACAGCCTTGTGCCATCTTGAGTCCTGTGGGAGATGTCCCCACCGGGCAGCAATGATGAGATGGCCCTAGGATGCCCAGAGGGGCTGGTGGCCTAGGTGGCCCAGAGGGGCTGTCACTCTAGACTGCCAAGGACCCTCCAGCCTTGAAGTGGGGTGTGGACTGGGCAGAGGTGGGGACAGTGTGGTGCCAGGGCCAAACCCGAGGGAGGATGGGAAGGGGTTGGGGTAGAGTGGTGAGGAACCAGCCCCACCAGCAGAGCTGCTGGGTAGACGGGGATGAGGAAGGTGTGGGAGGTCTGCCCAGGCCCAGGGGCTGCTGAAGACACAAAGAGGGAGTGGGCTCGGGGTAGCCCAACAGGAGCTCGGGGGATGCAGGGGTCAGGTGGGGCTCATGTAGGGGAAACAGGCCAGTTCACGTGTATACACTTAAGTCACCCCTAGAACCATCCTGTCTTAGGATCCAAGCAGCCTGCTGTCTTGCTGGCCCGGGTGTCCAGATGAGCTGAGGTGTGTGGCTCAGCCTGATCACCTCTCAGGGTCCCATCTCTTGGCCCCATGCTGCACACTGACGGGCTGGGGACCATGACCCTGTGGTCCCCGCTCACACCAGCAGCTTCTTCCTTTTCACTCACTCTAATCATGCGCCTGCCAGCGTCCCCAGAGAGACCCATTCCAGGGGTCATTCTGGCAGGGGTGAGAGCGTTTCAAAATATCAACATCACCCATGAAGAAAGCAAAGGGTCATTAAAAAGACAAAGGATCAAAGGGGTGTCAGAAGAGACTTGGAACTTGCTCTTAATCGTAGAGTAGCGAGGCAAACGGAAGAAAGGATGAAGTCAAAAAACTGATACAAAATGTCAAAGGGCAGCTCGAGAAGATAGTCAAATAGTGTCATGAAGTGTGAAAGACCTAGAATTAGACCAAAACGGAGGGACACCCTCAGCATACCTGAAACAGAAACAAAAAACTCAAGCCTCGAGTTGCAACCTTAAAAGATTCTATGGGCAAATTTTTGAATAATGCAGGCAGTATCTGTGTTAGGCAGGGTTCTCTAGAGAAACAGAACCAGGACACTTAGGACTTTATATATAAGGATAGGTGCACACATCGAGAAGGAACGTAACAGCTAATTAAGCCACACAGCAATACAGAGGGCTCGCTTAGTTCAACTCACTTCTGTAGAGCAGTTAATATACTGGAAGCCCTTCAATTCACGTGGGCTGCTGGGTCCAAGGTCAAGGAAGCAGAGCTGAGGCCTCCCTCAGGCAAGGCAAGCTGAGTGCCCACAGGCAGCAAGCAGCAGAGTGAGGCACCAACAGCTCAGGAGCTTAGCGAAGCAGGCCTGGATGGGATATTGAACGCAAGCAATGCAAGGTGACAAGATCCGCCCGCCTCAAGCGGTGTACGCACCAGCAGCGTGGAGAAGGAACCTCAAGTGCTAATGACAGGATCCACAGGTTAGCCTGGCCCACAGGTAGTGTAGCTCACGAGCTGAGACAACTAGCTAAAAGAGCAGCACACTGGTCCAATTGCCAGAGAGCAAGAGAGACGGCGGCAGGCCTTGCAGAGCCATTTATCTCTGCCCTCCAAACAAACAGGCCTGATTAATCCCACATGTTCCTACCGGCCAGGTGGGCACAATAACCCCACCTACCCCAGCATCCAAAGATGGAAGGAATACACAGTGCCGTACGAGTCGACGTTTCAAGAGCGGGCATGTGAGCAAGAACAAGGGTACTGAAGGAAGTGCAGGCTGCTCTGAAAACAGCCACCAACACGCGCGGAAAACACAAAACAAAAACAAAACTCAAAAGAGCAGACGCCACACGAGACGCGCACACGGCTCTGCCACAAAAAAGGAGAACACAGACACGGCCAAAACACACCAAAAGACACACACAAAAACTGCCATCGAGTTGGTTCCAAGTCATGGCAGCCCCGTTAGAAAGCAGGGTAGAACTGCTCCTGTGGTAACTCTCAGAAGGAAGCAGAAAGCCTCATCTTTCTTCCTCGGAGTAGCTGGTGGTTTCGAACTGCTGACCTTATGGATGGCAGCCTCATGTTTAACCACGATGCCACCAGGGCTCCGATTGACTGGTAGAGATCCATATTTGTACTCATTCAAAGAAAGATGATCGGAGAGAATACTCAAATTTTAGAACAAATATTGATATTTCATGATGAAGATCATCCGCCAACAACAGTTGCAGCAGTGCGCTGACAGGAAGCTGCCGGGCTCAGGCCGGATGCAGAAGAAGACGTGGAGCAAGGGGTGTCAAGCGGGTGTCGGGTGGATGCTGGCAGAAAGCCGAGCACACCAGGAAGGTTTGACTTGTGTTTTGTTGAGGCATTTGACTATGCGGATCATAAAATACCATGGATAGTCTTGAGAAGAATGGGAATCCAGAACACTTCATTGTGTTCATGCAGAACCTGTACATGGGTCGAGGGGCAGTTTTAGAAACAGTAGGAGAATACTGGTTGCATGCCCTCATGATACGTATCCAATGTGTATGCTGAGCAAATGATTAGAGAAGCTGGGTTGTATGAAGAACATGCAGGATCAGGATCAGAAGGTTTATTAACCTGTGATATGCAGGTGGAACAACCTTGCTTGTGAACCCAGCACAATTCCCCGCACGTTGCCAGAGGCCCTGCAGAACCCCAGGTGGGCACTGGGGGTCCTGCACGGCCTGGGGACTGCCCACCTGGTGCTTAGGATGTGGCCGGCGCCTACCCACATGGGCCCTTGGATGCCCCTGATGAGGGGGTTGGGTACTGCAGTGGTGGCGGGACAGAGAGGATGCTGTGCCTCGGGGCAGTGTCCATCCCAAACCCCCTCAGTGGCAGAAGTGCTTCCCTCTTCAGCCTGAGGGCCAGCTCGGCCTGTGGACCTTCAGCTGCTGCTGCTGGACACTTCTCTTTGGGCTCACAGGGCCTCCTCCCCGCCCCATGGTCAGGGACACTCAAACCCAAACCAGCCGACAATACTTTCTCAGCCCCTGGCCTCTCCAGAGCAGGTGGCCAGGGGAGGGAATGCACAGGATGAATCTGGACAGCAGGGGTCCCCACCACCCTAAGCAAGGGAAGAGGGACTCCATGAGTAAGGTGATCAGATTGTAACATTGGTAAAGCGGGACACCATTGATAAAACTCATATCCTGGCAAAATAGCCACATGGCAGCCAAAAACCGTATGTATACCCTAGCTTGTCGTGCATTCTTTCCAAAAATCGGGACTTTTTAAAAACGCCGTGGGACGCGGGAAAAATTGTTAAAAATCGGGAAGTCTGATCACCTTATGAGCAGCTCACAGCCTGCCTTCCCGTCCAGGGCTGTATCCAGGGCACCACAGCCATCCCCAGGGCTGGCAGGAAGGTGTGACCTCAGGAGACACCTCCCCAAACTAATGCCCTTAGGACTCCAGCAGCCACGCTCTGGCCCAGAGGCTGAGCCTGAGGATCACTGTCCTCTCTGCAGCCATCTGTTTGGGGACGGCCAGGCCTTGGGGACAGCGCAGCACTGGCTAGTCCTGCCTCACCTGACTTTTCCTCTCCGCAAACTCAGGCAAACCCCCGGAGAGCCTTCCTGTAAGATGCGTGGGGGTTCCGGACTCGGGCCTGCAAGTGGGGCCAGCAAGCTCACTCCACAATGGCTCTCCATAGCTGGGGGACCTTGCCTCATTCAGGAGGCAGCCTTGCCCTCACAGATGTCTCAGGGACGGGCTCCAAGTCCGGGGCCCCTCCTCCAGCAGTGGCATCTTGACGTCCTGGGGAGGAAATGTGGATTTCTTGGGTTGGCATGGCCTTCCCAAGGGACAGCGAGGCCTACCCAGGCAGGAGGCAAACGCCACCTGCCACGTGTGACCGTTAGGCTTTATGTCACCTTGGCTGGGCCAGGACTCTCCTGTGATACGATGCGGCCTGGTGTGGTCGGCTCCATGACGAGACCTGTGAAGCATCCAAGCAGTTGTGGGCGAGTAGGGTGGGATGGTTCCCCCCTCGCCACTGACCTTATGCTTGAGCCACGGCTGCAGCCGCTGTGTCCACCCATCCCCTGGAGGGTCTTCCTCTGTCGCCGCCCCAGCACGTTCCATTGAACTAATACTGAAGGGATAGCGATCCTGTGTTCTGAACCAGCGATCGGGATTGCACGGTTGCAATGTCAACAACCGTCAGCATCGACGGCAGCCCTCGGATGCGCCCTGAGGAGAGTATCGCCTGCAGAGCCCTTCCCAGAGAGGCTTGGTTGATCCCTGGCTGGAAGTGTCTGGCTGCCCGTCCTGCTGAAAGGGCGCAGGGCAGAGGGAAGCTCTTCACACAGGGCTGAGCAGAGGACGGACGCCCCTTCCAAAGGGCTCACAGGGGCACAGTCCAGCAGAGGGAGGGCAGCT